TCTCATGTGTTTTAAAGCATAACTATAAATTCAAGAAAGCCCGGGCGTCGGAGGTGCCTCCTTTGTTTCGGCGTTGCGGGGTAAGATGTGGCTGATCGTTCGTTAAAAGAATAAAACTTTGCGGAGAGAAAAACCTACTACTGTGGAAAGGTCCTAAACAAACATTCGTGCGAGCAGCTGATCGATGCAGGGAGGGTGCAACCACAAATGAAGAATTGCCATAATTTGTCTGGTGAACTGTGCAAAGGGGCGAGATGGCTCAAGTGGTTACAGCGCGAATTTACTGACCGGAAGGTCCGTCGTTCGAACCCGACCTCTGTCTCTCGACTTCCCCTGTCTAGGCTTGGGCTTGCGCGAAACTACTGGCCAGAAGGTTTGTAGTTCGAATACGAGCCCGACTTTTCAGCTACCCCTTTTAGACTCGGATAACCTCATGCGGTCGTTGAGTTGCACGGCAGCTAGGTATTGAAACAGTGCTAGGATTCACCGTTTTGTGATGAATATACGCATAGGGCAAAGGGTCTATAACAAAGCTGATGTTCTTTCAGTCTTTACATACCAGGGATATCTGGAAAAATCATTTGGTGAATTCTGAATGGAGGTGTGTCTGCTGGTTCTTTATGGATACAATGCTTCTTGGCAAATGCAAGGCAGGTGTGAATTCAAGATAAATTGAGCCGACTGCTGATTTTACCACAGATACAACCGCTTTCAGGTTATTGCGCAACTTCTTCGATAGAAAGAACAACGTCCAACTCAATCTCTTTACAGATGGTCGGCATATTACCGGAGTTAGAGCACAAATTCCGCTGGTTAGCGTAACCTGTCCTAATTTCGTAGAGTATATAAACTTGAACACCAGGTTTGCTTCGAGAAGCAACTGATTTCGTTTCGTCTACCTCTATTTACAGGGGTTCCCCTCTTGTCACTTATCACCAAGAGTTGTCATATTTCAGCCGTTTTCCTCTTGATAGCTCTTGTACGAGAGAACAGGAAGATAAGAGAGGGCATGTTGTCGTACGTACAACAGAATGAGTTTTTGTTTCTATCTATGCAACTTCCAACGCCATTATTTTCTATGGGCCAATCAAATACATCCTTCCTTTGTGATAACCCTACTAGTATCGTTATGTTTTCGCGCTACATGTCGATATCTCGTATACTGTTGAAGACGGGTCTTTTAGCAACTTAGAAGTTGCCTTGATTCGTTGGTCAGAAATGTCTCATTTACCTGTATGAGCGGCGTGTGCATACGAGCGTTTCTCAATCCATCAGTGTAAATACTTGTAAAAAGAATAGGCCTCATCTTTTTAGGGCCCAGCCGTAGATTTCAAGCACTTTTCTGGTAAATGACGGCCTCCTATGAATGTGGCAGACAAAATCAAGCCATTTAGAATTTTTGAAAATATGTCAAGTACACCGTATTCAACCGAAAATTTTGGATGCCCTGGTGGGACTCGAACTTGCGGCATCTAGCTACCAACTCAACTATGCGTTAGTTCTCGCATGTGCACTTGAGTCGCACAATGAGGCCGCATCTTTGTATGATGCATTCACAGCCGATATTCATCAGCACCATTGATGACTTTCACCATGAACCAGCTTTTGAAGTCACTCAGCTACTAAATCAAAACTAGCTTTGAACAAATACAAAAAGACGGGAATTCGGACGATCACAGACCAAGCAAGCCTACGTCCCTTCCGGGACTCCATCTTACTGATCGCACGACATGTCCAAATTCAAGATCATCATCATCATCAAGACAGCATGACATCAGTGCTCAACACCAATGCTTCACTGCCGTACAGCCATGACTTATTTGAAAGCCTTATTGTAAAGAAAAAGATAAAGGTGGATGGGGGAGGGACTTAGTGCTAGCTTAACACAATCATTCCGAGGTGCCTACACCTCCAGACATTCATTCAGGCAATCTGGATAGAAACTGACAACAAGAACGCCACTG